GATGGAACTCAGGTCAGTCACATGCAAGGCAAATGCCTTACCTGCTATACTATCTCTCTGGCCCATATTCAAGAATTTTTAATACTTGATGCCATGGACTTTTGGGAGGATTAGGCCACACCTGACTCTGGTCCAGGCTTACTCCTGATTCTGTGCTCAAGGATCACTCCTGGTGAGGCTCATGGGACCTTTTGCGATGCCAGCGATCCTCAGGGAATTGAACGAGGCTCAGCTGCATGCAAGGTAAGTGCTGCCTGACCCCTCTGCCTCATCTCTCTGAATATGTCTGTCTGCTTTTTGGACCACACATGTGCTCAGGGCTTACTCGTGGCTGTGTGCTCAGGAGTCACTCCTGGTGGAGCTCAAGGGACCATATATGTACCAGGATTCAAACCTGGATCAGCTGCAAGCAAATCAAGTGCCCTACCTGCTGCTCTATCTCCAAGCATCTGAATCTGTGCTGTATCTGCAGTTGATATATGTGAAGTTTAGGAGGTTGTTTTATGCTCAAGGTCTAACATTACATTTAGTATCAGGCAGTGGAGATGGCTAGAGAGTTCCTGGGGGAACCAAAGTGTAGGCACCAGAAGTTGGAACAGATACAGCTGCAGGGTCCTCCCTGAGTGTCGACAGCCAGTCTGGAACAGTCACCAAGGCTCACCAGAACTAGGACAGAGTTAGCCTGCAGAAGCTCTTTTATCAGGGAGAATGAATGTGACCTGGCTTTCAACAGAAAAAGCTTTATTGTCTATATTGAGGGATTGGATTGTGCCAGAATCAATGTGCTATTCTCTCTATGGGCCAGTACTTCCTATGTGGACCCAAAAATGTCACTGATTTGTTTTGTTGGGGGGCACTCCAACAGTGCTTTGTCTATACTAGTTATGCTAGAGGACCACACAGTGTTAGGAATCAAATCCAGACCCCCTGCATGCAAAACATGTCCTCCAGCCCCTTGAGTTATCTCCCTGGCTTTCAGAAGCTACACCAGGGGCTGGAGCGATGGCACAGAGGGAAGGGTATTTGCCTTGCACGCGGCCGACCCGGGTTCAATTCCCAGCATCCCATAGAGTCCCCCGAGCACCTCCAGGAATAATTCCTGACCACAGAGCCAGGAGTAACCCCTGTACGTTGCCGGGTATGACCCAAAAAGAAAAGTTACACCAAAACAGTTTAAATGCAATAATCAGGAAATGTGGGGCTGGAGAGGTGATAGTACAGCAGGTAGTATGCTTGCCTTGCATGAAGACAACCCAGGTTTGGTCCCAGGAACTCTAAATGGTACCCCAAGCTCCACTAGAAGTGATCCCTGAGCAGAAATCCAGGAGTAAGCCCTGAGTGCTGCTAGGTGTGACCCCAAAACAAACAAATTATCAGGAGCTGCCATCTCCGGGATCTTCTCTGCACCTTACTAGGTTATCTGGGACAATTCATGAGGCCTCTGAGGGGTAGGTATGAATGAGTAGCAGCCTACTTCTCAGACAAAGTGCAGGGTGAAAGCACCCCCAATTGTCCATAGCTGGCAAATTATTTCAGGGGCCACCATTTAAGTCTCCCAATGTGACTACTTAAGATCCAACAACTATGTGTACCTTTTCCCCCACTGTTGAATTTTTTGGGGGATGAGGGTGTTGGGGACAAATCTGGCGGTGCTCAGGGCTTATTCCTGGCTCTGTGCTCAGGGATCACTCCTGATAGTGAGAGGGATTGAATCCAGGACGGTTGTCCGAAAGGCAAGCATACTACTCACTGTACTATCAGTCCAGCCGCTCACCCACTCTTTAGTTGCCCATGGCTAATCACAGTGCCAGATGCTTTTTTGGTCAATTCAAATAAACAGCTCATGGACACAATGGAGAAAAGGTTTTGTTACCCAAATTCTAGGTCATGCTCATTCAAATGGGATCAGATTTTGCTCTGTATACAGGAGCTCAACTTTCAAGGTGCTGATAACCTTTCAGTAACTGCATTGAAAACCACAATGCCCAAAAAAAGGAGAGAAAGACAGAGAAGAAAAGTGCCTATCATAGAGGCAGGCTTGGGGTGAGGGTTTGAGGATGATGGGAGGGAAACTGGGGACACTAGTGCTAGGAAATGTACACTGGTGGAGGGATGGGTATTGGAACACTGGTGACTGAAACCTAATCATAAACAGCTTTGTAAGGGTCTATCTCATGGTGATTCAATGAAAAAAAATTTTTTTTAAACCTCTCAAGGTGCATGTGAGTCCATATAAGTCCTCTAAAGGCTGCTTTGGTCACTAATGATGCAACCTTACTGGCCAGAGAGCCGCACCACTGACACAGAAACCACAGCCTCTTCTTACTCGGCACATATCAGAGCCCAAAGTGCTTGTCGCCATGGCTTAGTCAGTGCTCATTAAAAAAAGAACTAAAAGCAAGGTCTGCGAGAGTTGGCCTCCAGGTTTCTCTGCTCACACCTTGGAAACACGTTCCTCAGAAGGAAGCCAGCTGCCAGGGTACCAGGGTCTTATATATATTAATTTCATCTTCCTCTGGTGAATTACAACTTCTAGCAGTCAACAAAGGAGAGCTGAGACAAACGACACATAAACAAGTGCTTCACAGGCTGGAGGAGGGGGGCATAGAGCCTGACGTCAGTTTTCCCAGAAATCCATTTATCACAATAACAAGGTCTCAAGTGCTGGGGCTGGGGCTGCTCGTCAGCTTCAGAATCTGGCACACAATAATGTTCTTCATCTGACACTACTGTGAGGCCTGCCAGAGCAAAAGCAGTAGTCCCCGAACACCCCCACTCCCCCCACCATTTTGCAAAACAAAGGGGGATCTCGGAGCAGCAGAGCTATGGGGGAGGTAAAGCAGCCCAGTACGGTTTCCCTTGCAACATCTGTCCTAATCTGGACCAAGACGACTGGGGACACAAGACAGACAGGTCGAAGCAAATTCATTAGCAAACAAGGGGGAGAAAAGGGTTCATGTCATTTTTGGTCACTGAATATGCAGCAAGTGTAATCCGAGAGACTTACTCATCTACTTATGCCATGGCATCTCTTAAACACAGGTATCGAGGAGCAGAAAAGCACTCTGGGAACCCTCAAAACACTAAAGCAATAAATATTACAGGGCTCATTTGCAGGGGAAGAGAGTTCGTTTAAATTTCAGTAGACAAAGCATTGCCTGCTCTCTCTTCTCTTGGTACTTCCCCAGCATCAGGAGCTCTGAGCTGAGATCTGAGGGGCTGTAGGAGGTTCCAAAGAAATAACCCTGCTTTCCTTGCACATGGACAGAATGGGCTAAGTGCCTACAAATGCTCTGTGGATACAGATCCTGTGGATCCTGTATGCAAACCAATCCATTTCAATTACATCAAATACCTAGAGGCTAATTTATTTTGGGGGCACTAGAGTTGCCCTGCAGAAACGATTTCTCTAAAAATAAGCAAGTCACAAGGTATAAAAACATGTGTGTGTCTGCGTTTCTGAAATTTCCATTCAGCAATCTTCGGTGTCATGTGTTTTGACCTACCTCCAACTCACTCTCCTTCCCGCCTCAAGGTGGGGGTGGAGGGGTTGGCTTCTTTAAATCCCACATACTTCTGCATATGAGTAGAAAGGCTAAGTTGCCAAGGCTGCCCCTCTCCCCCAATAAAGCAACCACCCCTGTCCTAAAAGGTAAAAAATAGACACAAGCAGTGGTTAGACTGATAGTACAGTGGGTAGAGCCTTTGCCTTGTACTGACCCAGGTTGAATCTCTGGCATCCCATAGGTCCCCCAAGCACCACCAGGAATGATGTCTGAGCAGAGCCAAGAGTGAGCCCTGAGCAATGCTGGGTGTGCCCCCCACACACACAAAAAAAACCCAAGCAAACAAGCATGGAGTCTCAGGTCAACTTCAGCTGTTACTTCTCTGCATTCAGGCTGGAAAACTTAAGTTGTTTAAATAAAAAACACCCTCCCTCGACACCAGTTGCCAACACCAAAAGATAAGTACCGCCTTTGCTAAAGTCACATTTAATTTTTTTCCCAGAGAAAGAAGCCAGCTTCACAGGTTTAGCCACACAAGTCCAGTTACACTGAACCCAGAACTAGAACAGATTCCCCCCACCACATCCAAACCGCCCCCACCCCCGTGAGAGGCTGGCCAAACCTAGGTCAGGTGCTCAGAGTTGTGCCAAAATAAACAGCCTGCCACCAATAGGCGGGCACCCCGCAAAGACGCACACACGGGACCCAGAGGCACACAGGTCCAGAGGACAGGGACACTCAGGGTGGGGGCGAGCCCACGCAAAGAAACACGCGGACTCGTGTGGGGTCGCAGGCGCCCAGGGGTGGCGGTGCCCGCCCGCTGAGGCCCTCGTGCGCCGCTTGCACTCCGACGCATCCAGTAAAACACACACACACACACACACACACAGACGCAGTCACATATGTAATACATATGGAGGAGCCCTCCCCCTGCCACTCACCTCCCCGCCCCCTTCGACACTTGCCCAGGGCTAACCCTAGCCCCGAGACCCTCCCAGCCAGCTGTCCCCGGCGCCGGCAGCAGGCAGTGGTGCGCAGGGGTGCGACGGGGCCCTCAGGGGAGAAAACCAGGCCAATGTGCCCGGCGATTCCCGAATGTTCAGCGGCTCGTGAGGCCATTCATTCGGCAACGCCCCAGCCGCGGCGCCGCAAAATGCAGCTAGCGAGGCTGCAGTTCTTCGGGCACTGCAAGTTCAACCACCGGGGCCCGCAGCCTTTGCCCCGTGCCACCACCACACCCCGCCACCCGCCTGCCACTACTGATCCCTGGGACAGGCACGGGGGTCTGGTGAGGGCGAAAGCCGCTCACTCCCAGGAGCTTAAGTCCCGGGGTACCTAGGCTCCGGGATGTTGCCCACTGGCCCACTCTCCGCAGCCAGCGCCGCCACCGCGGCGCCGGCGATCAAATCACTTCGGTCCCTTCCTAGGCTTCCCCACCCCCCAACAGACCGCCCGCCCCGGCCTGGGTGCGGGCACCCAAGCCCCGCAACTCACCACCTGGCGAGCTATATCGGTCGCTGCCATCGCTCCTGCGTCCTCCAGGGCTACCACCGGCACCGCTGAGAGCCAAGCACAGGAAACAGCGGAGCTCCTCCGACAAAGAGAAAGTGTTACACTTCGGGCGCGACCAAGTCCGTGGGGGGGAGGTGCAAGGGAGGGGCCCCCTCGCCGCGGCGCCAACCCCAAACTCCCCTCCTATCGCCCACCCCCTCGGGGATGCGGAGAGGGGGCCGATTGAACGCGCTGATTGTCCCCACCGCGAACCGACTTCCAGTTCTCCATCGAACCTCAGCCCGAGGCCTGGGCGAAGGGGGGCAGGGGCTCCCCTCGGTGACCACGTCCTCTGCCGCCGCCGACCCCCCCCTCCACTGGGCTCCGTGGTACATCCCGACCTCTGCGGAATTGTCACACCCCCCCCCTGCTCTCGCTTTACATCCCCAAGTCCCCAGACCCCAGAGTCAGGGAGAGAGACCCCGCCTCTCCCCCTTAGCGCGCACTGCGGGCGGTGAGGCCCCGCGGTCCTCGGATCCCTCTCCCCATCCCGCGCCCCCGGTTCCCCTTCTCCACCGACATCTGTGCGCTCACAGATAGGAACGCCGATCACTGGGTGCTGATGCTTCTGCACACACCCCCCACCCCACTCCTTGGAAGGCTGCTGAGGTCTGAAGGGTTTCGAGGAGCGCGAAGCTGCAGCACCTGCCACTCCACTGGGGAGCTTAGGAACGGGGTGCTTGGCGGGGACAGCCGCACTGCGGCTCTGCAACTGAACTGTAACAGGCAGAGTCCAGGGATCCTGAAGAGTGTCCTCTGCGTCCTGTGTTCTGTGTCTGGCGCTGCGGGCTGTAGTGGGAGGTCGACTCATGCCCGTTGGGTACTTAATAGACACGGATCCCTCGCCTCCTCTACCCACTTAGCCCTAGACACCCAGCCTACTGGGGCGTCAGAGGAAGCCTCTTAAGGCTTGGGAGCCAAGCTTCCCTGGATCTTTGGAGCGAGATGGCGCGCAGTGGACCTGTGCTGCTCTCAGCTGTCCCTCTACATAACCTTCAGGACAGGGCGGACACTTCCATAGGCGGGTGTCGTTCCTCCTGCTTCCTTTACTCCAGGCTGGTCGCGGGGACTCTCCTTGCCCCTTCGCCCGACCCACACCCGCAGCCCTGACCCTCCCCCCCTCGCCCCAGGAAGTGGTCCCTTGCTCAGCATTCTGCAGACGGAGATGATATGAATAAAACCCGAAGGCTTGGGACCCTCCACTCCCCAGGCTGCCCACAAAAGGCGGGTACCCTGTTCTCCAAGAGTAACGTAGAGTGGGGGATCCCGAACCGCGGGAGGGGGTATTTTGTGCTAAAAAAATCAACCGGTGCTGGAGCTAGAGTACAGCGGGGAGGGCGCTTGCCTTGCACGAGGAGGACCTGGGTTCCATCCTTGGCATTCTGGCATTCCATATGACATCCCCCACTCCCCAGCACCGTGGGGAGTAATTCCTGAGTGCAGAGCCAGGAGTTATCCCTGAGCATCGTTGTTGTGGCTAAAAAAATAAAAATAAAAAAGCGCCCTCAAGGATGCCCAGATGAAGTGTGCATGGGAGGTGACCCTGAGTGGAGAAGCCCAGGGAGAGGAGAATTCTGGCCTCAGCGATTATTCGAGGGTATCGGGAGGGCGAGTGGCAGGACCAGGTAGTGCAGAGCATTCAACTCAGTGGGTGAAGCCTGCCCTCCAGCCCCAATCTCGGCCTTAATCTGGGAGCTCTTTCCATAGAGATTAAGGATGCCACAAAACGCACACCCCATTTGTGCGTTTCTAGATGCCCATACTCCCTGATCTCGCACCCAAAAGGCAACCAGTGAGGGGACTGGAGCAATAGCACAGCGGGTAGGGCATTTGCCTTGCACGCAGCCAACCCAGGTTCGATTCCCAGCATCCCATATGGTCCCCGAGCACTGCCAGGAGTGATTCCTGAGTGCAGAGCCATGTGTAACCCCTAAGCATCACCGGATGTGACGCAAAAAAGAAAAAAAAGGCACCAGTGAAGCATTTTCTGAACAGAGACAGATGCAGAGGATAGAATGGTGGGGTGGGGGAGGAGAGGAAGAGGACAAAAGAAAGAGGTTAAAGGGAGAAGTCCAGGGGAACAATTTTCTTTTTGGCTTTTGGACCATACCTAATGATGCTCAGGGTTTACTTCTGGCTTTGCATTCAGAAATTATTCCTGGTGATACTTGGGAACCATATGGGATTCAAGGGATAGAACCCAGGTAGGACAAATGCAAGACAACATCCTACCCACTGTACTATCACTCTGTCCCCAAGAAGAGCAAAATATTGAGGGTGCCCCACTACACTCTCATCTTTGTGAGCCCCCAGTTGTTGGAGGGAGTGGAGGTGGGGCTGAAAGAAGAGTCTGATATGATCAGAGACATGGGCCTTGACATTGAGGGCTCAGATCAGCAGGGCAGATGGTGGTAACAGGGAAGGGATGTCTAGGAGATGACTGGGATGGGGCACGGGAACTGGGAGAAGCACCCAACTCTGGTTTGGGGGTGTGGCATGGACACCTGGGATGAGGAGATGAGCTCAAAGGCTTGTTAAGGACCTGATGGGGACAGGTAGTAGAGACTAGGGTCTGCTTCAGACTGAGGGGGGAATTTACCAGGGAGGCAGGTGTTGTTTGTTCATTTGTTTGGTTTTGGACCACCCCAGTGATGCTCAGGGATCGCTCCTGGCTGTTCTCAGGAGACAACATGGAATGCCAGGGATGGAACCTGTCTTGGTCGTGTGCAAGGCAAACACCCTACCTGCTATGCTATAAATATCTCAGGCCCCCATTCCTCGTTGACTTGGGGGCATGATGTGAACAGTGAAGGGTCAAGGATCCCCAGCCCTGAGGTTTAAATGGAGGGAGAACAGAATGCATGTATCGTGAAACCAGAGCTGAACGTTGCTACCTGTGGATGGGGGAAGCATGGGATGCTGGAAAGGGAGAAAGGTGGCACGGGAGCACCAATGGGGAGCCCTGGGCAACCTGCCTGCAGTACACAATGACCCTCAGAGCTTGGCGCTCAGTACCCAGCAGGACTGCATAGCTTTTGCCCCCAGCACTGGTGGAGGATAGCTGATGATAGAATGCTGGTGTCCCGCTCATAACCCCTCCTCCGACTGTTTGTCTGGATGAACTCCTTTCTAGTTCACCTGGAATTTTCCTCCCCCAAGTCCTGGACTCACAGACTGCAACCACATGTAATTCAAGTCTCATGTGACCACGGGTCCCTCCAACATCTGTACTCCTTATACTCCATGACTATCAGCCCCTTCTGGGGCCCAGGTGTTTACATTTCCACATGATGTGGGTTGATGATAACTTGCGACCACTTGGGCATTTCTGTGTGTCATTTGTATGTGTCTGCTCTGTGTCTCTGTGACTCAGTGTGTGTCCATGTGTGTATTGGCATATACTTAGTCTGATGTATTCCTTTGTTTCCCTTTTTTTCACTTTTGGATTTTGAGGCACACTCAGCGGTGCTCAGGGCTTACTACTGGCTCTGTACTCAAGGACTGTTCCTAGTGTGCATCATAGGTGATGCTAGGGATTGAAGCAGGATGGACTGCAAGGCAAGGCAAACACTTCCCCCCTATGTGCTACCGCTCTGGTAGCACAGCACTGTAGTACTGTCCTCCGACTATTCATCGATTTTTCTCGAGCAGGCACCAGTAACGTCTCACAACAAATTGTGAGACTTGTTACTGTTTTTGGCATATCAAATACGTCACGGTAGCTTGCCAGGCTTTACCGCTCTGGTACTCCTAGATAGTCTTTGTTTGTGTGTTTCAGTTTAGCTGGGTCACTGTGTGTGTGTCATTTTTTTGGTGTGTGTTGCTTTGCGTGCCAAGTAGTGTACATGGAGAGGTGATGTCCACATATGCATATTAATATGTATTGGTATATGTGTCATTGTATCTGTGGTGGGGAGGTTTTAGCTCGCTGTGCTCTAGCCTTTAAGCACCTTACCTTTGTCAGGACAGTGAGGTGAGGAGTCTAATGCTTATTCCAACAAAGAGGCTTGAAGACATGCTGGGTCAGTGTCTGCCCATTTCTGTTCTCAGGTCAACTGCCCATGGACTGTGAATACAGGTTAACTGCCCAGGCAACTGTGGCAAGAAGGCTCACTTGTGATCAGTTTCTTCCTTAAGGATCCTGTGGATGAGTGGCATTTTGCTGAAGAAGTGTAGTGAGTCTGAGAGATAGTACAGGAGTTCAGCCTTTGCCCTGCACATGGCCAACCCCAGTTCAATTCCCAGCACTATCTGATTCCCAAAGCCCTGCCAAGCATGATCCTGGAGAAAACACAAAGCCAGAGGTAAGCCCTGAAAATTGCTGAATATGACCACACCCTCCAAAAAACTCAACAGATGAGGGGTGTTGGAGAAACAGGACAGGTGTTTGCCTTGCATGTGGCCAATCTAGATTCAAATTCCGCACCATTTACTGCCCCCAGACCACTGCCGGGAGTGGCCCATGACCACAGAACCTGGAGATAGCCGGGAGCACTGCCGGCTATTCACACCAAAACAAAGAGGTGTTGTGAGCTCTCCGGATCGGATCGGTGTCTCCCGCCCAGCACAGCGCAGATGCTCAAAGAGTTGGTTGGTTGCGTGAATGAATGAACGGAAGCATGTCAGTGTGTTTGCAGGGTTTTCACTGGCCGTAAGGAAGCCAGAGCCAGCAGCGACTTCCCAGGGTCAGCAGGTGACTGTAATTAGCATGCTAATGGTGTTTGTGGAACCACGCTCCCTGGGGAAGGGAAATGGCAACTTGGCTCAATAGGAGTGGCCCCTAATTGGAGCCAAGCTTCAAAAGGTCGCTCACCGCTTGAGGGGGAGGGGTTGCGAAAACTGGATGGCGGCCTGCGTTGGGGGTGGGGAGGGGGTGCAGAGAGGAGGAAAAGGGCCGTGAGCTAAGAGCTCCGGAAAGGGCTTGGTCCTGAAATCGTGGACTTTATGAGAGGAGAAAGGGAAGGCTGTTAGAGGTGATCTAAAGTGGAGAAATTCTGCAAACCCTCGCAAAAGTAACAGCAGCACTTTGGCGGAGAAGAATGAAATGAAACTGACAGGGATAAAAAGGGGGTGAGGAGATCCCAATCCAGATTGCATTCATAGAATCAGGAACTCGGTTAAGGGGCTGAGTCCAGAAGAACCCAGGATTCCTTTCTCTATTTTT